TCCCCTCCCACCCCCTTTTCCCCTTCTCCTACACCAGACTGAAAATTTTCAGCCTTTAGTTTCCGGCTAGCCGCTAATGGCTTGTATTCCGTCTTATCGGACGGGACCGGTTTCCGGGCGCAGTTATTCCAGTCTCATGAAAACTTGGATCATTGGCTACAGCTACATAACCTCTTGAAACCAGCCGGACAATCTAGCAAGAGTTCCATTCCCGTGCACAGTGGAACGAACATCGCACGACGTCTTTCCGAGCAGCCTTTGAACTTTCCAACTCCCTTTGCTCCCTTCCTCTGCTCTGTGTAAAAGATTCAGTAAAAACGACGATACAAACCGGTTACCGCTCCATACAGTCCTGGCCGTCACCATTACACTTCAAATATTTGCGACGAAGATGAGTATATTATGAATACAGTGCGCAGTACTGTGTTGTATGTTTATACATTTTTGCTTTTTATGCAAAGTGCAATGCAGGTTGCCAAACATCAAGCTTGCCGATGCGAACATACGTTTTTGTACTAACGTTTTCAACAGTATGATTGACTGCCACTTTATAGTTTAAAACGTAGACTCACGTTGGCTGTTTTACAGCTCAGCACATTTTGGCCTTTTCTTGCACGCGAGAAGGGACGACTGAGCGATAGTTTTGCATAACACGGCCGCATGAAATCTTAACCTCCAGCACAAATGAATACTGAAAATTTGTTTGGTGGTCGGTCATTCAGTGTATCCAGGCTTAATAAGAAGTTGAATTTGAAATCTTTTGGTTTATGTTGGCAGGGGATATTCTCTAAGATTTCAGCTTTCCAGCTTTTCTCGTCTTTGATTTAGCATTTTCCTGCCAAAACTTTCGTGCCATATGCGAGAAGCAGAAGTGCTTGGAAATTGATATAACGTTTCTGGGGTTCCTGCAACTGCATTTTGGCAACACACTAACACACTAACGGGAAACACACTAACAAGATATTGGCGTCAAAACTCTCCTGACTGTCAGAGCAGAAGCACCCGGACAGGCGAACACACACACAGACAGGTCGTCACAACATACGATTTTGCAGCCTGTTGCAGCGCTCTAGCATCGCCCTGCATAAACGCTTAATAACTGCATATGTTAATCTGTAAAGCAACAACCATTCGTACTGTTAATGATCTGATTACTTCAAGTTTAGTGTAAAGATGCAATTTCGCACTGGAACCCTGGTGTGCGTTCTATCTGGGTTTTACACAGAAAATTGCCGTAATTTAAAGGAAATAGAAACATTTCACGATTTTTATACAAAAAATGTATTCAGACACAACTACAGCAATCAAATCTATCGAGATTGTAGATATTCCAAGTCAGAGATGTTACTGTAATACTTTGACATACCGGGCGCAACTGTGCCAGGCTCTTCGGTCCTTGGTTGCATACTTTTAGTCGGTACTTAATATCTATTAGAGTAGGCGTGAACACAGTTGTTTTAATAAATGAAAATATAGGCGGATGAATTATTACAAAACAAAAGTCTTTTTCGAAAAAAAAATTTTTTTTGACTAAAATTTTGATCACAAAATTGCTTATTTTTTACTTTGATGGTAATATCTGTTAGAATTACATCCAGTATAGATTAAAATTAATATAGGGCCAGGGAAATCTGACATACGCTACAGGAAAAGATGTTCTGAGTAAACTGTCGACAAAAAAAAAAACTAGCTCGCTGCAAGATCGAGGAGAGGAGAAAGCAAGCAATTTTGCGAGTTTGTTCGAATGACCGCAACAGAGCGAGACTGCTGCTGTCGCCGTCAAGGATTGCCTGTCGCCGGAGCACTTCCTGAATGCCCTCGTTGAGGGTACACTCTTCCAAACTGCTGGGTCATTAACCCTCTGCAGCTCCCCTTCCTCACTCTTCCCCTCTCAAATCCCCACTTTTCCACTACAATTTTCGCTACATACAGCTGCGCAGCATCGATGCGATCAGATTGAGAAACGAATTAGTTTTAATGCATTTTGTGCTAAACATTTTTTTTTCTTCCATTCAGATGATTTAAAATTAGAATTGAAGATGTGATGACAAAATACAGCTCCGTGAATACGTACGGGAAACAAATGAAGGTGTGCAGGAAAGAAATGAAGGTGTGCAGGAAAGAAGTAAATGAAGGCGCGCAGGAGAACGATCGCCCAGCTTCATCCGTCTTCACGCGCAGAAATTGTTGTCGCCCGAGCTACATGTAAAAAATACCATGAATATTAAAGCCCCTTGAGTATTCCATGTTACTGGAATGTTTCTGTACGCTGGGAGTAGGCTATGTCAGGCTCTACGATTCTGAGTTGCATACCTCTAGTTAGTACCCTCTGTCTTTTCAACTTATTTTCAGTGCATCAAAATAAAAGACTGTCTTCTATCTGACTCAGTCTCTGTGAGAAAAGGAGGTTTTCTAAAGTATCCAAAGGCTAAGCTGCTGATGGCTCCCTCTTCTAAAATTTGCTCAGAAAGAAGCTGATGGCGACTCTCCAGAACATCTATCGGTACCAATTTACTGGAGAAAAGAATAAACGAACTGTGGAGCAATTTGATTGTCTCGCTGGCAAAATTGAACATTTGACATTTAGCATAAGGGTAAGTGCATCATGTTCGTTAAAAGCTCAATGAATGCTAAATCATAACATAATTAAGAAGATGCTGGTTTTGTCCGAGGCCGTTATTTTCTGCCTATTCACATATGTGTAACCTTTTCCGAAAATTGAAATTTCTACATAAATACTGTACGAATAATGTATGTTGTACAGTACACATGCTCCGCACAAAATTTTGCAGTGCTCAAATTTTATACAGAAATTATACTAGCAATATACTAATAATAAATGTAAGAACTTTATTTGCGAAGATTAGAAAGATATTTAAGCTGTACAAATTCCGTTCGACTTACAAGAGTTAAAATTACATCAAATTGATATTTTTCTGAGTCAATACTATACAGGCCGGGTAAAACTTTACAACTATAAAGTTAAAACTACCCAATTTTTATACAGAACTTGTGCATTATTTTTGCAAGTCCTGTATAAAACCTGTATTTTCAAATTTTAAAGATCGCAGTCATGTTTTCTCGCTTTTCCAGTTTTTATGCGTTTTTGCATTTATGTAAATTGCAAAAACGCATATTGGGAAGAGGCTGTCTG